GCGATAGGGGGAAATGAAAGTGCTGCTGGTACCCGCTCTAGTGACTCGACGATCAACGGGAAGACAGGTGATGTAGGTGAGACTTTGTTTTCGAAATGGCCTTTCTCTTGCACTGTAAGAGTAAAAATAAAATTACTCTTTTTTCGCTGGAGAATGCTTTTCTTCTATACTACTCGTAATTACTCGATAGCTCAAATCACGGAAATTTCAGTGACATTCTTACTTCTTGTAGTAATTCTTCAGTGCGCTGTAACAGTCAAAAGAATATTCTGTTTCGCATTCGGCGCATTCATCGCGGAGCGCGTTCTCACGTGGGATGCTAATTCTTTTATTGAATTTAAGATTCTCCACTTAGGAAAAGCTTTTGACAAAACTTATAACTCTAATATTTAGAATTTCTTCTAGACGTTCAAATGATTTCCGTGCATAGAATCAAGCTTCAGCTCAGCGTTATTAGTGACTTATTTAACGTTGTGAAATGAAAATTGAGAACCTAAGCCCCTAGAAAGATAGAACAAAGTTCTTGCGCGATTAGTCTCAGAATTGTCATGAATTTTTGCTACTAAATAACTGTTGTGTTACAGGAACGAGGTGGCTTCGTGACAATATTGCGAAATTCCATTCAGATACAGGAGTATAGAATGCGCGTCGAGTGCGAGACTCAATTTTTTTTCGGTCTTTAGAGAAGAATTAGAAGCTCTTTTTGAAAACCAAGTAAGTCCCAAAGTCGTCGTGATTCATGCTATCTATCGGCAACAAAAAGTCTGGGAAGAGCTCGATCCAGCGAAAATTTCCAGAGTGTGGAATAAAGTTTTATTCTACTGTTCAGCGCAGTAGGAAGGTCGTTTGAGAATGTGGTAGTGTACCGGTGAAATTCTCAAGATTTATGCTACTGAATGACTACTGAAACTTGAGGAAAAAGAAACACAAAAATGACGTTTTTACCAGAGGGCTGGAACAGGGTGACAAAAACACGACAGTGAAAGCCACTGTTGGTTTTCATAACTCTTGAATAATGTCAGATTCACCTTATGGACTTTGATAACAAAGATATGGCTATAAAATTTTCGATTTCATAAAGCTTCAAAGCAAGCATCGACAACAATTATGATTATCTTATGGTCAGTGATTACAATTCTAATCGAGAGATGATAAGAAATACTGTTTAGTGCTTTTCTGCTAGCTAAGGATAAGTATTACATGTGATTTATTGGCGCTCAGTGACGCATACGGCAGCTTTATGGTACATACCGATGTACTATGTCAAAGCGCTTGATATTCCATTTTCTCGGGTTTTAGCCTGTTTCACAGAGATAAAAGGTTGAAGTTGAACCTAGTCACAAGTTCGAATTAGCTACTGCGTACATTACAAAGCATCTGTGACCACTGCGCTTCGTAGGCGATTTCAAATCTATATAGTTTGTAATAAAGGGCTTCATAAATTTAAATATAAGCATAGATACAGGCTAATGCAAGGCTGTTACAAGAGCAAATCAGTTCTTGTGGAGATATTCGCAACAATGGGTATAACTATTCCTACCGAGTACATATCGAATGAATGTCATCAAGAAAAGCGAGAAGTTGTCACGTTACATTCGGCTGAAGGTTGGGATCTGTTAGATCTCCTTTTTTCATTCTTCATATAAGCTCAGCTATATGCAAGATTGATTAGTATATAAGCGAACACTGCTTTGCTGTAACTGTATAGGTTGTGGCTGATTAGTTGTGATGCTGTCTGCGGTGCAGCGGGAAGCGAGAGCGATCCTGAGCTTTATCACTCCCCGGCAGTCAAATGCGAGCGCGATATACCCTCTATAGACAGGCAATTTCTGAGATTGCAGGAAACGCGCTCTGATAGTATTCTACGACGTTCAAGAAGAGGATGAGAGTGGACTTAGCGGGATTTGCACAGTGGGGAGCTGGCAGATGAATCAAATAAAATAGAAAAAAATTCATGATGTAGTTATATGTGATAAGAGCTGTGCTGCCAACAAGTTCATAAAACCTATAACTATTTCTAAGTTTCATCATGTAAATGATTCCGATCCATGCATGTCTGATCTCTGTGAGTTATTTTAGTGCATTGCTTGTGTACTCCTACGTGTAGGTATCAGCGCTTATGACTCAGATTGGCGGCGGCAAAATAACCCTTCCTTTGAAAGCGCCTGCATGTCTGTACATCACCGTCCAAATGCCATTAAAGCGAATTAGCTATACCGAAATGGCGCTCGATTAGAGACGATATTTGGTATTATATCGTAAATTAAGCTCAATTAGAAACACTACAGTTAAAGTTTCAAAACGCTTCTTCCACGCTCAACGACGTTTATCGCAAGTTTCTTGTTTTCCCTCCTCCATATTAGGTCAAGCAAAAGTTTTGAAAAAATCTTTGAAAGTTTCATATATACCTAACAGAATTGAGTGAAGAGTAAAAACACGACCTTAAACGGGAGTCGAATCCGGGCATCACTCATACGGAGAACGATGTCACAATGGCTGTTAGCTCAACTGGGTTTAGATAGCGAAATCACATACATGACCAAACCTGTTTAAGGTCTAAGGTATATGTTCATCTAGTTCATTGATTTCAGCTCCAAAATCCTTACTGGACAGCATGATTTGCGTGTGTTCGTCCGTCATTAATGGGGAAAACATTTATCGATTCTTAAAACCGTCGGTGAAGTTAATGAGGTCAAGGTGGTGGTACGACGACAAAATCGAGTATGAGCAGATGGCTTAGGCATTTCAAAGATGGGAATTTCATTCTAGAAGACGTGTCTGGTTCTGAAAGGCCATCTGTTTTCGATTAAAGTGACTTGCACGCCACTCTGGATGCTGAGACGTCATCGAGCACTCGTGATTTGTCTGAAGAGCTCGGCGTTTCACAAAGGGCCGTTGCCAGGTTGCCTTTCGCACGGAGTCGATTTGAATAATTAAATTAAGCTGAGAAATCATGCAAGAAAAAGAAGGCATTTTTCGATTCAAAGGAGCAGGATTGGTCTTCGAGTACGTCCGTAATTTTGTTGAACATTGGCAGGAAGGGAGCGCATGTGGCGCAGTGGTTAGAGGTGCCCTGCGTCGCACACGAGGACAATCGTTCTACCTCGAGCTCGTGGCTCACCAAGTCATCCATGCCTACGGAGTCTGTAAATCGGTACTAGATTGGTCTCAGACTTGTCTGGGAAGATAAGCAGCACTGACTCGATTCAGAGGGAAGCCACAGCGGGTGATTGAAAAGGCCAGATATCATTCAATCGCTTCAAACGAAGTGAAAAGTTGAAGACAAATGGATGTCGCATTCCTTATGGATTGAATCAACGCCGAGAGCTTCATTCTTTTTATCCTTTTACCGGCAGAAAGCTGTGGACGACAGTGGTCTATACTTCGAAGAATAGTTATTCTTTTTGTTGTTAAATTGCGCTCAAGAACGATACTTTCAAAAACCTCTCAAGACTTTTTGCTTAATCCTAGAATTTGAGACGAAATTGTTTAAACACGGATGTGTTCCACAATAGGATATGAAGGATTCAGAGTCAAATACAAACACTGCTTGAGGTGAGCATTATCATAGTGGTCCACGAAAAAAGAGGTCGAAGGAAGTCGATAAGAACCTTCATAAGCAAGTGAGGTCACAGGGCTTAGATCATGCTAGGTGACTAGACATTAAATTCATAAGAGTAATCTGACTGCTCAAACTTTGTAGTTTACTAATGGACAATTTCATCTATGCAGATCGTTGAGGCTAAATACATTCAAGGCTCCCGTTATTACACATAATGCTAGTGGACGTTAGAGTACTGCAAAAACGAACTGAATGAAGTTATCATCAAGTGTAGGATTGAAAGCATGTAAACATATTCGTGTCAGGGCCAATCGACGTCTTAAAATAGACAACGATGTTGATTGGGCACCAAAAAAAAACACGAATCGATTATGAACAGAAGAGGAAGAAGCAAATGTAGAAGATTTTGGTTATATAGGCTTCACATAAAACGAAATCAAAGAAAGAAAAAGAGATGAAAACACTAGGTTTTTTCAAAATCAATCGAACTAAGGACGGCTCGAATTTTGTTGCCATTGTGAGGGTATGAGATTTTCGTTAGCAGTGCAACACACATGAACATCAACGAAACAGTGACACTATTAGGATTGACCGAATCTCGTTTACGTAATGGCCTCAATGCTAAACATAGGAGCTTATAACACCAAAAAGTAAAAAATGTGTAATAGTCTACGAGTATGCAGAATTCGAAAGGAAAAACGGTTTTTCTGCCAGACGACGACAAATCATGAAACGACCCCTTTCGCTCTAAAAGAACATTTCATAAGAGTACTAATTATTTGAATGCTTAAATCTCCGGCAAGTGCGCTACGATTCTTTTTGAATAGACCCTTCTATAACGCGGTAGCGCTAGAAAAAATAAAGAATTGGATAATAGAACTATGTTTTACACCGGCCACGCCCTTCTGTTGTTGTTTCGTTGGAAGAACAAAAAACATATGAACGTGTAGGGAAATTATTGTAGCATCAAAGTCATTTTGGCTTTTTCAAAAAAAACGGCCAGGTTGCGCACTAACCAGAGATTCAAACTTCGAAATGATTACTAAAAGTGCAACTTAGAATTTTGTTCAGCGAAAGGAGTCCCTCTTTCATTTGTCGCCGTCTATCAAGAAGAGCCAAGAAATCTATCACCAAGCCCTTTTTTCCAACTCGCAGAAAAATATTCTTTTCTTTTCCAAAGTAATTTTGAAACTGTTTTTATATTCGAAATTTTGACTGTTTTTATTGCCTTTTTCTTAGTGTTATGATGTTTCATATATTCCTAATAGAACTGAGTGGTGAGCATAAATACGACCTCAGACAGGAGGCGGACCCTCGTTTCATCCATACCGGGGTCGCGTGGCACCACCACACCATCGCATACATTATCAAATCTGTTAATGGATGGTGGCTGACAGCTAACATAGAGATGTTGGAGAATGGCTGCTGGCGTAAATGTGTCTCGGTGATTTAGTGGTAGCACGCATTCCCAGTATGGATGAAACCCGGGTTCAACTCTCGTCTGAGGTGGTATTCTTGCTCACAGCTCTTTTTAATAATCACTATTAGGAAATCGTTAGCGCAAAGAAAACTATTAAGCAAAAGAAAAATTGCTTCCGTTTATTATAAGGGAACAAAAGAGAAACCGTTCTCAATCGCTGGGGAGGAACTTTTCATGGGAGTGTTGGGAACCATTCGAAAGCTGACACTTGAGGTTACCGTCTCACGTCGCCAGTTTTCCAAAACACCCTTAATACCGTTGCAGCATCCGCATCAAAAATTGTGTTTCACACTCGCCTTTTGTCTTCATTTTGATCACGCGTATAATTCGCTGGAAGCCGAAAAGCATATCAATGTGTAGAGTAAATTTCGTCATAACTTAGTCAGTCGATTTACCCAGAGTTTCCTCCGAAGCGAAAAAAAAATTCCCAATTGGATAGAAATTATAGACCGTCCCGCCTGGCCCCGCCCTGTGACGCTTCTGCCACGGCCTTCGCCTTCTCGGTTAGCCTCTATACAACGTTACCATAATGTAAAACTTGATCTTATCCTCCCTGCCTGACCGTATTTCTAGAAAATAAGCATATCGTTAGGAACAGAAAACATTAGCTTATCAAATGATTACTACTAGTCTAAAGAAAGAGTTCTGTCCGGCGAGGTTTAAAGCACAAATACGAAGATCAGAGGATAAAAGATTAAAAGCGTTTTGCGAAAAGCAAACGCATTTTGATTTTTTTAAAGCTTGTGCTATAGTTTGAGTAATGTCACTTTGAGGAAGAGTTTTGCACGCGAAATATAAGCGATATAAAAAAACACGTGGTTTTATGAAACATGATTTCATTTTGAATTTTA